AGTGGCAATAGCCACCCGGTGCATTCCCTTCTTTTCGGGTTGGATTCGAAACCCGTCCCTTGCAAATATGTTCAAAAAAAAAAAAAAAAAAACTACATTTTTCACATAATCACAACTACAGTATCGTACACTAATTAATCTCGAATTGAGTTTTTTGCTTTTGGGCCTTTGCACGCCTTGTCTATCGAATAAATGATTTTGAACGTACAGCTGTGATAAATGGACCATATTATCTATTGAGTGTATCATCTACCAATTTTGAAGCAGTCTTGTGCTGCCGGTGCTTTAAACCACTGGCCTGCTGGTGCTGGGACATCCCCTGTCTGTTCCTGCTAATTGGTTCGCAGACCAGGGTTTCAATTCCTTTATTGAGTCCAGAACTGACGGGTCCCACCGATTGGATGAACGTCAAGAACAATCTGACGGTTGGTGTCCAAATTCCCTGAGTTGGTATTGAAATCGAGCGGTTAACGTTGTGTGCTGCTGAAATATGAATTTCAGGAGCTAGCCATGGAATTGGTCGGTTCCATTTGTCCTAATCCATTACTCATGCAATGTTTCAATCCTAACACGTCTGCGGAATATGTAACATTGGAAGGTACTGTTTAGTAGATAAAAAGTACACGCGGTGCACCGCCATAGCTGCTAGCCTAAATGATTGAAGGGGTGCACCATTAGGCCCACGATCCGATCTCAACTTTAATTTTCCTTCTACAATTTGTATGAACTTTTAAGCTGTTAGAAAGTACTTAAAAAAAAAAAAAAACTTAATTAGACGATGAAATATATAAAAAAGGATTTATTTAAAATTTTTTCATTTTATTTAAAGTTCGAATCTAAGGTATTTAACTTAGAATATCCTATTTTTAATCACTTAAATTATCTTCTAAATAATGGTGGAGAAAGCAACGACCGCCCTTAACTTAACTTTTGTACAATTTCAATTTTGGAATATAAATTATTCCTTTGGCTTCTAAAGTTTTTTAATATTATATATTTATACATAAAATTTTAAGTTATTTTCATTTAATTCTTTCTTATCTTTATAATTTTTCATACTTAACAATTCAAAACTAACACAGTTTACAATATTTTTATTACAACTACCATTCCAAATATGAAAAGAATATTATAATTTTGTTCAATGTTTTGTAAAAAAAATAAAAGAATTATAATATAAATAAATGAATTTCTTGCATATTAAATAGATTAGGAATGGAGGTCGCAATTAAACTCAAATTCAAAGATCTTTTTCCTTTAAGATTTCACATTGGTTTATGATTTTATTTTTTTAATTTTTGTCTTTTAGTTTGGAAAGTGATGTGTTTAATAAAAT